AAAAAACTTGAATTAAGTAAATACTGAAATAATGGTGTCCCCTCGTTTACATAGCATCAAGGCAGACATCGTTGTATATACCACCTAAACTTCACTTTCTATGATGTTGATAAAATGATACATTTTGTGATTTTTGGTTGAAGATTCAAAAACTACATTCTTCTTCTTCAATTACCATTGAACAAAAATAACGCATTGATCCAGCCGTTGTAGCGTAATTAAACACATACCACATATAAAATATAAGTGTCGATGTTAATAGCCAAGAAAAACAAAATTAAGGCGAGTAGGTATATTTAAAGTACATATAAATAATATTAAAAATAGCTTACATTCATAATGCGTCTAATACTTTGTTTCTAGGCGCAGTACACATTATTACCCTAGTCATCGGATTCAGGCTTACCCGCACACAATGCATGCAGATTATCCACTCCCTTGGGAGCATTACGGCCAGGCATCATTTTGACAAACGCACACTTGCTCATCTTAGGGTACGTTTATGCTCAGCTTTTTCTGGCCAGAATGAGGCATCTGTTATGCGTTTAGTTCAAAACACGGTTGCGTCCTTTCTCATTTTTGTAGATTCACCGAAAAACGGCGATCATAATCGCCGATCGTAAACTCACAAAAAGGTGCGTTTACGATCGGCGATTCTGCAAAATCAGCGATTTTGGGGAAGCATAAACGCGTTTAAATGGGGTCAACGCACTGATCGCTAGTGGGTCTACGTAGCATGCGCAGTGCAGGTTTGCGAATCCAGCTGCAAGGCCACCCAGCCAGAATTGCCTGGAGGAGCCAAAGAAGTGAGCATAAACAGTACACCGTGGAAATGCGATTACGATGAGCGTTTACAATGAGCGTTTCAAATCGCTCATTCTGCCTTCAAAAATGAGCATAAACGTACCCTAACCACATTAAAGGTAAAGACCAGTATTGGAAACGCCCCAATTTTAACAAATGAAATAGAAGCTCTTATTACCAATCATGTGAAAGAATATGTTTTGACTAATACATAATGATAAAATATTTGCCGGGGAAACCGCCTACTAATTCATATATTTGGTAAAAAATTTTCTCTCATGGACTGTGAGAGATATAGGATAGTCCCATATACATCTTTCTGTGTATAGTGCTTGTAACTTTACGAAGAATGGGCCAAATTTCTTATCATTTTGATGATTCCAGAACCTTGCAGATGCTAGATGCTAGATGATCAACCTTTTCTGATCGATTCCACAACGTTTCTTTCACAATGCAATCGCATGAACATAACTGGTCTTTATCTTTAAGTTTCGCATTCTACCGGGTACCCATTGAACACCTGGGTGGAGAGTGGCAAATGTAGATTAACGTCTTGCCAAAGGACATTAGTGCCGTGTCGGGGATCGAACAATACAATTACACGAAAGTGTCCACTGTATTCTACATATTACAAAGAACAACATTATTTTAGAGTCATACAACTCGGTATATGTAAAATGATACTCATTATTAGCAGCTATCTTTGTAGTACTTCACGGGTCATATATAATATCTACTTGATATTACAAAGCTTGAACTGTAAATGCGCACTTCAAATATGGCAAGAAATGGTAAATAATAACGACGATAATTGAAACGTCTGGGCATGAACGTTACATTCTCAAGTAGAATTTGATGTCTAAATGACAGTACACCACGAGTCCGTGACTAAATTATATATAGATAAGCGTTCGATTACCTGCACTATACATGCACAAGTCAGTGAATAACTTTCATCCCAAATTAGGGGAATCGTATTCATCTTTGCATCCCGCAGCTCTCACTGGTACTATTTTTGCAGTGTAGATTTTTTCCCCCAAAAGCTTGAGTTTGTTCAGATCCACTCTTTAATGGCCACTTTAAAGCTTTAAACTCAAGGCCAATACAGACTAAACAGCAAGTACCTGCATCTGAGAGGAGAGAAACCCTTCCAAAAGTGACCAATTAATCAGCTTCTCTCGATCAAGTTCAGTGAATTCTTTATCAGTTCTAGTGCACCAAGTCTACTTGCGTCTAATTAAAATGAGTAAGTTGATAAGAAACATATGCAAAGTATCAACTACAATATTTAAGATGGATCTTGGATCTCGTGGCTATCTTCGCACACTCCTCTATTTCTTTGATTGTTACAGAAGAAATAATTTTGATCTTTCCTGGTGAGAGCATCATTTATTTCGTTATGTTCAAATATGGCGATGTGATAGTTAATTATGCTGGCTACTGCATCTTTCTCATTAAAAACGGAAAATATATCGTTTACAACTCGCAGATTCTTACCAATCTATGTATCACCCAATGTAAGTTTACTCTAGTTTCATCTCCTTCTTGTAAGATATATCACGTAATAACTGTTCTAAATGTGTCAAAGTCAAAGAATTTGACCCACAAATTACAGAGCTATGGCTGTTTTAAAATGGCAAAGGATGTCCATTTTAGGGTCAACATTCCTGTATATGGCGATGAGATAATAAACTATGCTAAATGTAGATACTGCATCTTTCAAAATGGTAAATAAAACTTTCACAAAGACAACCAATGTCATACTGGCTATTTGTCTTTTCAGTTTGGGAGCGGCCAGGGGTACTCGTATGTCCTTTGTATGAGGAAGAATAATTACGAACACCCAAACCCTTTTTTTACCAGTGTGTTCATTGTTCCGAAAGCTAAGTGTTTTGCTCCGAAGGGGTGGGCGTGGGAATTGAATAGCCCATTTTCGTTTCTGAATGTTTTCTTCTTCCGCACTTGAATCCGAAGATTCCTAAATCAGAAAGATAAATAATTCATAAGTTCATAATTCCGAATGCTCGTCATTTCAAATGATGATATAAGTCGAAAGATGAAATATAGGGCTCTCTCTTCCGAAACGAAGAGATAACTTTTAATTTTAATAATTGCAAACCTCGGTTCAAAGTAGAATGAACCCTTAGTCATTTTGAAAATTCGAATAAACGAACCTTTGAAAGTACCAACCTTCGGAACGAAACGGTGCCAGATTATTGTACCTTTCCTCCGACTCATCCGACCCTGCAAGTGAAATTTCTGTCAGGCATCGTCTACAGGCTACTGTAGAAGATATGAGGTCATGGATGCTCATAAATAGGTTGAAATTAAATGAGAGTATAATAAAAACAGACTTGCTTATAGTTACTTCTAAGTCGCAACATCATTTGATCAAGGACCGTAATATACAGATTGGTAATGCCTTGGTCACAAATACCCTTACGGGCTGCTACGAACGCCGTACGAACGATTTTCAGACCATTTCGTAAGATCTTCTTAAGAAGGCCGTACGAAACAAGCGTTCGTAGACCGTTCGTAGACCGTTCGTAAGAACGCAGATTGGTCGATGGTCTTGTCCAAGATTTTTTTTAACATCGTACGAAACCCTCTCTTCGTAAGGCGGCCGTACGAACGCCGTATTTACATCGTAAGAACCACGCAAGATCTACGTACATTTCGTAGGGTCAAGGGACAATTCTAGAAGCTTCAAATTATTACGATGACCGTAAGAACGCCTCAAGTTGTTCATAGAGGGCTCTTACGGCGTTCGTAAGAACGCCCTACGAGCGGAGATTCTTATGGTCTTCGTACAAATGACTCATGGCGTTCGTAAGACGTTCGTAAGGTGCTCGTAAGGTGTACGTACACAATTTATGCAAATATTGAGTTTTAACGGTTATAAAGCCTCACTATGTTCATAGTGTTCGTCGGGGTGCATCTCCTGTCGAAGAAATATGGGACCAAAGGGGAAATCTGTTAGAGGGAAGAGAGGGAAGGGAAACAAATGTAAGGAAAGAGATGAGGAGGAAGGAGAAAGAGGAGGAGAGCAGCAACAACAATATCAAGCAGAGGCGCCGGAAGTGGGGGGGGGGGGGGCAGGGGGCAAGAACAAAACCTGAATTGAATCACATATAAATTATATTCTATTCAAAGAAAAGGAAAGTTAATAGGGATTAAATTTCGTATACATTCCGCTTGCTCCTACATTTTATCAATGGAGGTTTTTATAGAATATGCGATTTGCGCATATCGTGGAAATATTGTAAGAGGATGGGAAAGTGTTTTTTTATTTTTGTTATTGTAGTGGTGAGAAGACATGAGCCCCTAAACAGTGGCGTACTAATGGGCGGGGTTATTTCTAATTCGATACCAGCGATTCACAAACGTTGGTGAAATGACATGATTTTCCGGTATTTTTTCTCATTTTTTTGTGTAAATCATATCTTTTTATGCGTTTGTTTGAAAATTACTAATTCCCAAATTAACATAAAAATTAGCCTAAAAATATGCTTATTTAGAAGCCTTCATGTCAGGGCCTGCAGAACGGCGGGGCTCAGGGCTCGAGCCCCCCTCACTTTTTTAAAAAAGAGAAAAGGAAAGAAAGAGAGAGAACAAAATGTGTGACCTACCAATGTCACAAATGAGATATCAAAATATGCTCATCTAACCGTAATTAGATGCCGAAAACCTTTGAGCTTCCAGGGGCTTAGCCCCCTGGACCCCAGCAAGGGCCCTAAGACAGCCCCTGGATGCTCATCTGACCGTAATTGAATACCTAAAACCTTTAAGCTTCCAGGGGCTCTGCTCCCTGGAACCCCCGACAATTAGTGACCTGCCAGTGACACAAATAAGGTATCTCAATATGCTTATCTGACCGCAATTTAATGCCTAAAAACCATGAGCTTCCGGGGGCTTAGTCCCTTGACCCCCGCCGGTGCAAAGCCCCCGGACCTCACGCCAATTTACGCTCCGCTCGCTACACTCTAACCTGATCGTTAATACTCCACTTTGAAAAATGTTCCGTGGGGCCTGCATGTAACATGTAGGCCTAGGAGTGGTGGTGATGCAAATTTTCCTTCTGCCCCCCCCCCTCCTCCAAACGATTTTGCTCATTACGCCACTGCCCCTGGAAGGTGAGCCCCCTGGAATTTTCGCCACCCCAATCCCAAACTGCTTTCGGCGCGCCTGATATCAAGAAATGATGGCCATATCGGAAGCGACCAGGAGGAGGCGGTGGAAGATGACGACGACGAGGAGGAGGGAGAACCATCAAGATGGCAGTTTGACGGCGATGAAGATGAGGTAACGGGGAAACTAAGAAAGGAGAAGTAGTCCTACGACTTTGATGCCACCACAGAGCAAAAACTTGTTGACTTCTTCGGTTAACATGACTGCTTTTATAATAAAGGAAGTAACAGATATACTAACAGCAAGTTCAAGAAACATTTTATGGAGTTGCAGTTGCAGTTGTAGTCTTCTTGGCAATATTGTCATCGTGTAATATCAAACTTTCAACAGTCATAGAATTTTCGACAGTATACGGCAGCGCTTTTTTTGCAACCCGAACAAATAGGAAAAAAAATCGTAAGATCTTCTTACGAATGACTTGTGAATGCCGTGAGTTAAACGTACGACCAGCTTGCGAGAACAAAAACTCGTATGATTGGCGTAAGTCTGACGTAAGAAGAACACAAGGCGTTCTTACGAAAAACGTACGAACTCTGGGGCCATTGCATAACCGAAAATCTTCGTTTCTCAAGAAGGTCTTGAGTTGTTCTTGCGAATTAAACGGCGTTCGTACGAACTCCGTAAGAAGGACGTAAGAAACTTTGCCCCATCTGCGAATCTCTACGAACTCTGAAATTCGTAGGAACAGGGAGATTCGTACGAACGAATCGTTCGTACGAACATTTGTGACCGTAGCATTACTCCCAGATTCGGGCTGCTCCATCAGTTCGAAATCTCGGTGTTATATTTGACATCAACATGTGCATGGATGCCCACGTGAAATAAATCTGTCAATCAGTGTATACTATTATAACATCCATAATGTTAATAGCATTCGAAAAGTCATTGACCATAAGTCTGCTGCTTTGCTTATACATGCATTTGTTTTATCTCGATTAGATATTGGCAATGCTCTTCTTTTCAATATTACTTCACGCAATCTTGACGAACTTCAACGTGCTCCGAATGCAGCTGCCAGGGTTTTATCAGGGACATCTAAATATGATCAAATTTCTCCTGTTCTCAAAAACTGCACTGGTTGCCAATCCGCAAGCGCACATAATTCAAAATCCTTCTCCTCACATGGAAGGCTGTAAAGCACCAAACTATTTACAAAACCTTGTTATGCCTTATACACCAGCTCGTAGTCTAAGATCATCACACCAGCATCTTCTTAAGATCCCAAAGACACGAGTAGCCGGTGGTGAAGGGGCTTTTTCATCTGCAGCACCTTGTCTTTGGAATAATTTACCATTTAATTTGAGAATCATAACTTCCTTAGAGACCTTTAAATCCAAGCTGAAATATTATCTTTTTTTAATAATACCTGTACTTGGCACTATGACACTCATCCGAACTTTCTCGTCCAAACTTTCTCATTCTTTCTACTTTTCTTGTGCGCCTCGGAATAGCATTGTCTAGATAGACGGCGCTATACAAATGTCTATTATTATTATTATTATTATTATCCATTATTCTTCCAAAGCGGGAGCATTAACGTGAAGGTTAATGTGATAAGGATCGATATCAAATTAATAGTCTGATTGCCTTGTATATTGCCTATCAAATTAATCAGCTTGTTTCTATCGTAACGTGCATTTCAACAACACAAATGGTGGATGGTATAAAAATATATATTTTAATGCTATCCCATAATTTCGATCCACTCTGCCTTTTTTAATCTGTCTGTTAATATCGATCCCGTTTTCATACGAACTTACCGCCCGCAGAAAAGAAAAAAAGTATCATTTATCTTTACAATTGGTCGAAGGAAGATATCAAGTCATATGTCTTTTCCGATTTCAATTGATCTCCGTTGATCGATCGCTATAGCTTACAATTTGAATATTACGGTTAATATTTCCCGCCTCTCTGTAAATCAAGCAACTTTATTCTTCGCTTCCGGATTGTTTATTTTTATTATCCGAGAAAGACGTCAGGTTATCATCGTGCTGTTTGATCATTTTTGGAAGCCCTTGAAGATTGATCTGTAAAATGGTAAGTATTTTATGTTTTTATTTCAATCATATGAAAATGGCCACCATGAATATGATTTGATTTCATTGCCATTTTACTTTTTGTCCGTTCCAATATAAGCATATACATGATACATTTCGAAACAATACAATGTACTAAATGTGTAGATACTGGAAAGTCTTTTCGGAGATTGCATTCACAAACTGTATAATCCTTTCTATGATGAAACACTGCCGCGTCATCCGTATATAAGGAAATCTTTGTCTTAGAATGGAGTTGCAGGTTACAAATATCATTCACATAGAGGCAAAAAAATTAATGGCCCCATGATTGATCCTTGTGAATTCCTGATTTCACAGTTAGAAAATTACTCTTCGTCCCTTGCAAGAATACACATTGTTGTCTAATGGATAGGTATGACTCGAACCACTTAAGTTCAACTCCCCCAATACCATACAATAACATTTTCTGAATAATCAATGGATGTGGTATAACGTCTAACGCCATTTTCAGGTCAAGAAAAATGGCTCCAGTGACCAGACCTTTGTCCATATTGTCAAGTATATACTTCGACTATTTCGGTCAAGCAAGTTAGAGTTGGATGCCCGGGTCTAAACCTGATTGCCGTTCACTTAACAAAGAATGTAATAAGTAAAAAAAATATATCTGATTGTGTACAGCCTTCTCACATATCTTTGAAATTGTGAGGAGAATAGAAATAGGTCGGTAGTTAGTTAATTCCATTTTGTTTTCACCTTTATGTATAGGGGTTAAATAGCAACTTTGAATTCCTGAGGAACGTATCCTTTTGACAATGAACAATTGAACAAGAAGACTCTAACATAATTATGTTGGGCAGCTATTTTAAGTAGCTTTGGGGGAAGATCATCAATACCAACTGCTTTTCAAACATCAAGCTTGAGTTGTTCTTTTAATACAAAACATTCCTCGATCTCTGTAAATTTGAATTCATGTGCTGTTTGCGGAAATGTGTGCAATGCATTTATATTGAGATGAGAATCATTCGCTCCTGTTAATTGGCTTTGAATATTATTGAAACTTTCATTAAACAATTCTGCTACTTTTCCTTTGTCTACTATAATTTGGTCATTTACAAAAATTTAATAATCAGAATTGGCATCTTTCGTTGGGAGTAAATTTTTGAGTACTCTCCAGGATTTTTTCATATCATTACCATTTTCAATGCAAAGATTCTTATTATATTGTTTCTTTAACTTATTGTTCAGTGCATTTGTCCCATTTCTCAATTCTTTAAACTTTTACCAGTAGTCTGTAGTTCTGTGTTTATCAAATTTGCGTTTAAAATAATTCCTATCTCTTGCGATACATAGATATTCGTTGGTAATCCAAGGTGATCCCCTAGAACGTTTCTTACTGTGGCATACGGTACATGAACATCACAAATGTCTTTGAATTTACATTTGAAAATATACTCAACATTGTGATTGTTTAAAGGCACACTGTCCTACTTGTAGCTACTTGCTCCCTCTATTAAGAAAACTTCCCCAATTGGTGCCTGTTGGTCCCCCTTGATCCTCTTTTTCTTATGTTAAATGAGAGCTGAGTTAATGAGATAGCCACCTGTCACAGTGACCTCGCTGGCTCGCTGTGTGGTCTTATCCCTTCTGGCTAAAGTAGTAAAGCCAGTCTTTAAGTACAAATTATCCCAGTTTATATCTTTAACATCATTTTTTTTTTAATTTTCATTAAAGTTTCTAAATGAACGGTAGGTACTCACAGAACATATGGAGGGTGGTGGTTTTTCTTTCAATACAAGGTAAAGCAATAAATGATCACTTAGACCGATAGAATGTGTGCCACTCTCAAGTCATTTCAAATTATTTGACACAAGAATTAGATCAATAAGGGATGTACTATTAACGGTTATACGTGTCGGGGTCCTTATCAGCTTAGACAAAATGCATATTGTCACTCAGATCATCCATGCCGAAAATATTCATTAAGGTAATGTGAAGAAGGTCGATAATTAATTGTCTGATAGTGCATAATGGTCTTGGGTTTTTTTAATCAGCGTATCATTACCACCAGCTTGTTTCTACCGTAACGTGCATAACAACGTAAAATAATGGTAGATACTATCAATATCTATCCTTTAAAGGTAAAGACCAGTAATGGTCATGCGATTGCATTGTGAAAGAAACGTTGTGAAATCGATCAGAAAAAGTTGATCATCTTGCATATAAGTATTGGTGTGTACTGCAAAGTTTTGGAATCATCAAAATGATAAGAAATTTGGCCCAGTATTGGAAAAGTTACAAGCAATATTCACAGAAAGATGTATATGGGACTACATAACACGTGCGCGATATCTATCCGGTCCGGATAGATATAATAATTTACCAACTATATCAATGAGCAGACGGTTTCCCGGCAAAATTTGTATCATCACGTATTGGTAAAAACATATTCTTTCACATTATTGATAATAAGAGCTTCCATTTCATTTTTTTTTAGAGGGGGGGGGGGTCGTATTTATCCAGTAATTTCGATCCACTAATGCCTAGGTCACATTTGCCGCCGCGGTCATGGGGTCAAAAATATCTACAGCCAATAGCATTTATAGAGCTGCCGCAGCATTCCCACGGTGACATACGGTAGTGGTCACATATGTTAGGGTAGCCGCACGGCTTTTTTAAATTTGTGGAGACAGAAAACCTGCGGCTGCCGTACGGCTTTTGAAGTGATGACCGTAGGTTTTTTTTACAAATACTAAGGCAGACGCAAGATAGCTGCAAGGTGCCCGCAAGGCGGCCGAAGGGGTATCATACGGCGACCGTGCGGCCAGACTCTTGCTACAGCTTCACCCCTGGATTATATAAAACGCAAGGCCAACGTATGTCCCACGTACGGTCGATACGGCGAACCTATAAATGAAAACAGTAATAACTCCGCTTTATAATCCCACGGCGACCCGTACGGCCTGTAAAAATACGGATACGCCCTAGGGTGACCCTGAGGCTACCGTAGATTCTCTGCGGCCGCTGCAAGTATCTCTTGATTTCGGGGGCGTACGGCCGCCGCACAGTGGGCCAGGGAGGAACCAAAGTGCGCCAAAACTAAGTTTGGGTGATTTTTTTTTCCAATTT